CCTCATGTGCGTATTAGTTTCGATCCCACAACAACTTGCACACCTGGTTACCGTACTCTGGCACTACTACTACTACCGGAGGCAAGCACTCAGGGCCACGACTGCATTACCCAGTCAAGTCAGCCGCCGAGGTCCCACTGTTTTCCCACCACACTTCATCGGCAGTTCGTCCAGTTTATCCCACAACACTCGTATGCATGAATAGGTTCGGGTGGAAACAATGACAAATCTCTGATACACCGCTAAACTCAGTACCACGAGCTACATTGAAAACAAATGAAAATGCAGATGTCTGCCGAGAAGAATATGTTCGCCATATGCAATCTATGCCTTAATCCATCGAGCTCTCCGTTGGGCGGGGCATGGCCCATGAAGTCGCCCCCGGTATTCCGCCCATGCAACCAAACACTGACACAAAACGTTGCACGCCTGGGCCCATGTAAACCACGACACTTCCGTGTGGATTGGCTACCCGCGCTCCCCATGTCAGGGGTCCTCCCTCCTGCTGTTGATTCCCGGATTGCCCACGCACAAACGCCAAACGTTGGCGCAGAAAACAGACAGGCCATTGTAGTATGGCATCAAACCACGCATAACCCACAGCGGCTTTCAGCAGCAGTACTGCTTGGTGAATGCGACCGGCCGTGTACTGCCAGTCTTAGCACCGATGAACCACCCCTGATGCCGCCGCTGACGCAGCAGGCATATGGGTCTACACCGCCGAGCTCTGACCAGTTTGTTTTGAACTCGCCTACACAGGGTTGTAAAACAAGGGGGGCATTTCTGTTGTCATATGGTATGATGTTTCATAGACGTCGGTATGCATAACATTATGCAATTGGGTGGGTGGGGTGAGGTGGGTTCCTCCTTTCTAGGTTGCCCACTCTTCCCTGCCACACATCTCACGTCGCCACTTACCAGTAGCACCACGCGACTTGACGCGGGGTGGCACATCCTCTGCTTCGGTGATGGCGGCTGGTGCACTCATCGGGACCACAGTTCCGCCGCGTCCTCGACGGTGCAAGTCTCCGCGTCCCTGTGTCCCTGATCCTCCACGGCCCCCTCCGATGCCGTTTTGATCTTGAACAAGAGGGATTTCGCGTCCGAGACGGTAAGGCCCGGTACATTCCCTCTCAGTGCCATGGCGGCGCGAAGCGGGGAGAGCTGGAAATCCTCTGCAATGAAGGACACATTAGGGTTCTTAGGGTTCTTTCAAAACACCGTTCGCAAAGTTTCCGGTTGTTCTCGGCACGGCACGGGGACATCGCCGCCCCACGTCTCTGGCACGGACTCGCGCTTTTCTCTCTGTGATCAATCTCTCACCTCAGAACAGTTCCCATGCTTCACCAACGGAGTAGACGCCGAGATCTTCTTCGAATTGACGACGCACAGCATCCACCCGTTCATCGTCCCCGTCCAGCACATCGTGGAGACACGTCGCGAGAGCCGCGACATCAGACTATAGACGCAGCAGAGAATTAAATAAACCCCGAGTGAAGGCGAATGGCTGCAAGTGCACCATGGCGCATTTGCATGGTTGGAAGCCACAAAGCATGAAAAGACATACCGCGTCATTTGGACTTCGTGTCAGCTGGTCTCGAGGGTCTCCATCTTCCGCAGTGTCCTCCAGGGCGACATCTATAGCGGCCATTTACTCGCCACTCCTACCCGAAAGTAACCTATCTTCTATGTAATCAACGCTAAACGCTGAAGTTGGGTAGGTATGTAATACTATTGTAAGATTATCGACTGTGACATGCTTGCAACCCATACTTACATGCGCACCAAACTCTTGTTGTACGGAAGCGTGGTGTATGCATTAATGCATGACAGTGCGCGGCGCTGGAAGTGCTTTTGGTATACTTATACATCTCTATGCCGTTGTTGTGCAATATCTAAGGCGTGTTCCTTTTAAAAAGCTGAAGGTA